TTTGAGAAAAAAAAAGAACCATGGATCTTTGCATTGTGTTCCAGTTTAAAGTTCCAAATAATGACATTGTTCAAGCTTACTGATTGTTCATGGGAGAAGAATGCAGTCTTTGCAAGCCGTGAGAGTTACTCATATAAGTTCCTCATGTACATAATTGTTTTCGTCTTTCATCTCTACGATCATCGTTGTATATTTGTAACTGTGCATCTGATTTTCGTTTGATAATACGATGTAAGGAACGAAGATCTTAGACTTTATTGATAAATATCATAATATAACATCGGTTGGTTTTGTTTCTTGGATCTCCTACGCTTGACCATCTTGTAAATGTTTTGTGATTCTTGGCATGTTGTTTTAGCAACTTTACCTTGAGGACTCAGTTAGCATTAATTAATTTGTACTGCATCAATACTTGACATTGTTTCACGACTAATTCGTGGTAATATGATAATTTTACAGTTCAGAAGGGGTTGATAAAAAAAAAAAAAAAAGAAAATGCCCCTTTACGATTGTATGCTTCTGTTGAAACCCAACGTGAGCAGGGAGGCTATGATAGATCTGCTTGCACGGGTTGGAAAGCACATCTACAGAAGAAATGGAGTGGTGACTGAAATGAAGTCCTTTGGAGAGGTTCATTTGGGTTATGGCATTAAGAAACTTGATGGACGATACTATCAAGTAGGTACTTCTTTTCCTTCAACAATTCATTTGTTTCATGAAATCATGTCTGTTTTGCATGTTGGAATTTTCATTGGCTTGCTTTTTTTGTTTTTTATTTCAGGATTTTTTTTTTTAATGAGGAAAAAGTATAGTTGAACCAATGGTGTTTAGTTAACCTGAGAAAACTATGTAATATAGCCACAATAGCTAGTTGTTTTGACCTTGCTGTCATCGGAACTTAAGTTGTTGACGATCACGTGCAGATTGAGTCATTAGTAGTTTCACTGATATTTCTCCTACTGCCATTCTATGGCACGGATTACTACTGTCAGGTGGCACTTGCTCAATAATGTGTCCCATGCTTGTTTCCATTTCAACAGAGTGAATGTTCTATCTAGAACACAGTTAACTTATCCATCATATTGAATAATTCTGGGGTATGTTCTAGTACAAAACATCTTCATTTATTTGTATGTTCGTATCTCTGATCAAGAAGAAGTTTGTTAGCTATCAATTCAAAATACCTTGTATAGTTCTAAGGCATTTACACTACTATTTCAATTTCTATTATTTTGTCAACAATGATATTTGTGACCTAATTAATTTGTGATTATTATAGGGTCAACTGATGCAGATGACAACAATGGCCCCACCAAGTCTCAATAGCGAGTTGCACTACCTCAACAAGGAGGACCGTTTGCTGCGTTGGATCTTGGTAAAACACCGTGACATAAAATTGGAAGAGAAGAACGACGTTGAAAGTGAAATGAGGAGCTTGAGAAGCAATCTGTTTGATGATGATAACACTGAGGAGGAGGATGATTCTGATGGGGAGTATTCAGGGGACCAATCTGAAACAATTGAGCATCAAGAATGATAAAAGGGCAACACCATGTTCTTCTTTTTTTTTTTTTTTCTTCTCCTTCTTGTTTTGGTGGAATTTTGATGGGCTATGATTGCTGAAACTAGGTGTATCAGGACGGAGTCATGCTAATGCGTTGGATCGTGGAGTTCTGAAGGGCATAGGCATGGGTTTACTTATTGTCATGTGGTTAAGGTTGGGATTGTAGTAGGATTGCTTCTTCAGTGAGTGCTTGTATGGATCTAAAGACAGTTTCTTGGTGAATCTACTTTGCTTTCAAGCAATCCAGATATGCTAATGGTATTTTTGTCCCATTAGCATATCCCAATAAAAATCCCGTGATCTTTATGAAGCCCCTGGGATTTTGCAAGTTATATGGATTATGGTGCCAAATGGTAATGACTGTTGTGCTTGCCACTAGTTATTCCTGCCTTCTCCATGTGTGTAAATTTTGTGCAAAGAGGTGTTTGCAGATATTTGTAATTTTGTTATCTTCAAATGTTTTTTTTTTTTTTTTT